GTGTGTGTGTGTGTGTGTGTGTGTGTGTGTGTGTGTGTGTGTGTGTGTGTGTGTGTGTGTGTGTGTGTGTGTGTGTGTGTGTGTGTGTGTGTGTGCGTGAGTACGACCTCGAAGATCTGGGACAAGGAGCAAAATGGGCAAGGGCAGGGATGCAACCAACCAAGCATGTCAATGAACATGCTTAGCTTTCTGCTTGGTTCCGATTCGTTGAGTTGCCAATAGTGCAGTGGCGCTGAATGTGGAAAGGACGGAAAATTCACAAACCGGAAAGCTGCGACACTGCACAACCATCAAACAAAGGACATGCAACTTTTGGTGTCACGAAGCAGTGTCTGCATGCTCCATTTTCTGCCATGGTGCCACACAAGTGCGGGCGTCTTGACCCTCGATCGGTGGGCCCAACATCTGTCCTAGTTTGGAACACAGCATCTTGTGCGCAGCTTAGTATGCCACTTGCATGGCTTTGCATTGCTAGCGGTAAGTGTAAGCATTGGCCGTGATGGTCCATCAGTCCCTGCGACAATTGCCTTCAGGAATGCACCGCAGGAAACTCATCACCACCGAGGAGTTCCTTCGATTGAATTCCATACATGTTCTAGGGAGTATCATGGGCCCTCTTCCCGAAAGCCTCCAAGCTTCCAAGCCTCAAATGCCGGAAATGGGGGTACCCACCCGTCAAGCCTGTCAAATTCTGTCCTTCTGGACACCCCTGCACAGAGCTCAAGGCGAAGTCCATGACATGGCGCTTCTGCAATTCCTCGGTGAGACGGGTCAGCATCAGTCTGCTCACTTCTCGCACAAGCAGCAGCTGTTTGCGCCTTGCATTTGTAGTGTAGCGTGTTTTTGTGGTCAAGGCATTCAGATCAACCTATCGCCAATGACAAATCCTGAAATTAGGAAGCTGGCGGGTCATGATCAGATTGCACAAGTCACTCAAGACCTTTTTCCACGGCAAGTTTTATTGCCATGTTCAACCCACTTGTACCTGCCGAGAGTGCGAGGGACTTCTGCAATATGTTATTTGATCAAGGCTCTTCATAGAAGTCTGCGCCTTTGGAATTCCTATTGTGAGTTGAATTGCTTGCGTTCAGGCCATAGTACTTCTCCAGGTAGAAATCCTCCACTGACACGCACTCAAAGCAGCATCCAAACAACCAGTGCTTTTTGGATTTCCATACCCATCTTGATATATAAAAGCTAAAAACTGGAAAACAGCAACCAAGCGCCAGCTGGACAAGAATGAGTGCTCGAAGCATGCTCCTCGTTGGCAGCGAAGCAGGCTGGTGTGAAGAGATCTGTCCCGAAGCTCTTCGGTCTGCAAGTCCAGGTCAAAATGCAGAAACGAATGTAAGCCCTGACAATAACCTGCAACAAACCCACCCTAACCAAAAAGAGAATGTCTGTAGTATTCAGTAACCAGGATACACGACAAACGAATATGAGTTTAACTTAGGCGCTATAATCAAATCAAATGTGAGTTGTTGTTTTCAAGTTAATTGCATCAAAAAAGAGTCGTTATCTCTTCTTCCAAAGGAAGCATTTGCACGCCTTGCCTCAGGGTGATCCCTGGCTGGGATTGAAGGCCTCCGCTGAAGCTGAAGTCTTGGTAGCCTGGGCCAGGCAGCTTCTCTGAGACAGGACTCATAGGACTCATAGGACTCATGAGCAACGACTCAAAAGACTTTCACTCATGAGCAACGCTCATCAAAAGTACATTCACCTATAAATACCACCAGGTATATGATAGTTGTTTATACTCCAGGGCATCTCTCATACCATCTCTTGGCACATCCGCCTCCGCAGAGCGCCATGGCCGCCGCCTCCACATTGCCTCACGGGGCCATGTCATGTCACCAAGCGCTTCGAAAGGAAAATCCTTCATTGGGTCTCTGTCAAGAGGAGCAAAGCGGGCTGTTCCCTGTTCGGTTGGGCTGAGCTGAGGAGCATGCAAAAGCAAAGTAGAAGATGTGTCAGAATTGGGCGAGTTGCCACGGTGGGATTCCAAATGTGAGTTGATGGTTCGATGCGCCACTGAATCTGCGAAGGCAATCAAACGTTCTGACTGCATTCGTTGCTTTCGAGCTGAAGCTGATTGCCAAGCAGAGTTTCTCCGCACTGATGAGCATAACTTCCTCTCTGATGTAGTGTTTCAACTTTCAACTGCGTTCATGTGGTCAGGTAGTCAGGTGGTCATGTGTTGTGTCAATGTGGTCATCCTGTGATAGTCTTGGGGATGTCTGTGGCTATCGTGCGGTCGTGCCGTTTAGTTGCGTAGCTCCAAGATTCAGGTTGGAAGGGGCCTTGCCAGAATCAAAGCATGTGGTTGCTAGCCCCAGCCAGTGGGGGCCCCCAACTGCCCCAGCACTTCCAAGCGGCTGAAAAAAGGGACAAGGATCATGGAGACCGTCACCAAGATGGCACCAACAACCATGACGTATCGCGAGATGTCATCTAGCCAGGATTTCCTCGAATGGCCGTGGACCTTTCCTCCCAAGGGTCC